TCTTTCCCTCTCAAGAATAAAATCATCTCCACTAATTAGTGTTTTCCAAAGAAGAGACAAGCTTTGGAAGGCACCTGGCTCTGAGCACACTATACAATTTATCCTACACAGAGGCTTTTCCAGAGACCATCAGTTTCTTAAAGTGCACATGAACAGTTGCGCTTTCAAAATCATGAGATGTAGGCTTGTTCTACCCAAAGTTGTCTTCGTTTTTATTTTTGTTTTGGGAAAAGAACCCAAGCAAAATTGGGCAGGATAACCCTGCATTGTTAAGAGAAAGGGATGTACACCCTAATGACATCAGAAACCTTTCCAATGAGAAAAATAAACCACTTTCCAGGGTAACAGCATCATTTACAAATGGTCTTTGGGGCCGACAGGTGGTGTGATGATTAAAGTGCTGGACTCCCACATGGCCAACCATGGTTCAGGTCTCAGACCTGGTGGCTCACTTTCTCACTTTCTCTCTCTCTCTCTGTCTCTCTGTGGCCAAACTGAGAAATGATAATAATAAATACAATTAAATAATTATTTAAAACATGATAAACAAAAATGGTCTCTCCATGGCAGTAACAATAGTCTTTATTTCCTGTTTCCACCAAAATAAAATCTTATTTAAAAGTACCTAAAATTGAGTCAACTGTTCATTAACCCACAAACTGGTTGGTTCTTCACCAGGCAATTGTTACTGGAAAACTTTGGCTTAATCTTTGATTCCTGGATAAGTCTAATGTCAATAAGCACAGGCTGCAAGTTTATTCTTTGGAAAGACCTTCTAACATTTGGCTTATACAAAAAAGGCCAGAGTGCTACGTCTTTTTTTTTTTTTTGGAGAGGTTTTTGCTATAGGGCGCATGTGCTCGCCGAACAGACAGAGACAGAACGTGAGAAATCACACCCCAGGGGGGATGGCCACGCCGCAATCCCTTCTCCTCCATTCTCCTCTTGGGATCTTGGGCACGCAAGCACATGTGCCCGGCGTGAGTTTAAGCCCCCGAGTCCGGGACACAAACTGCGGTCGACTACGTGGGAGGCCAGTGACATAGCCATTACGCCAAATGCTGGTCCCCAGAGTGCTACTTCTGACACCTTTAGCTACAGATCTGAGAATAACTCCCATAGCTCTGCAGAATATTAATAGGCCTCTCTAGAATCATGCTAATCTATAAATACGGGAATGCAGAAATTCTGAATAGACCAATTTTGTTAAGTAATTAAAGTGAAAAATTGTGAACAGAGATACCATTATCTTCAAAAGCTAGAATTTACATAGGCAAAGGATTCAAGCACGTTAGCTAACATCATCTACTTTTAATGCCTGTATGGGGGCTGACATTAGTATGGTCCTGAATCAAGTGACTCTTCCATTTTCCTCCACATAAAACTACCTGAAAAACTTATTTGAACTAGAGTGTTCCATTTCTCCCACTTCTCTCTCTCTTTCTCTCTCTCTATATATATAGATATGTTAGATTGTTTTATTTTAAATTTTATATAGAGCATATGCACTCATCAGAGAAAAAGAGAGAAAGACAGAGAGAGAGAGAGAGAGAGAGAAAGCCACAAGGTCCAGAACTCGAACCAGAGTTGGCCATGTGGGAGTCCAGCACCTTAACCACCACACCACATGCTGGCCCCCACTCCCATATTTTTAATATATTTTTCCCTTAAAAATACCTTATTGGAACCAGCAGTTGGTGTAATGGCTATGTCACTGGACTCCCATGTAGTCCCATGGTTCAAGTCCTAGACCTGGTGGTTTAAACTCACGCCGGGCATGTGTGCGTGGGTGCCCAGGATCCCGAGAGGAGAATGGAGGAGAAGGGATTGCGGCGTGGCGATTACCCCTGGGGGGTGATTTCTCGCTTTCTGTCTCTCTGTCTGTCTCTGTCTTTCTGGCAAGTACATGTACCCTATAGCACCCCCGCCTCCCCCTCCAAAAAAAAGGACCTTATTGATTTCTTAAAAAAACCGTAGATTATAGAACTACAGGCTTAGGGTACTTGCAAAGATAGTGAAAGTTATTCAGTAACAAATCATTGTTTGAATGAGGAGGTCTTAAAAATATCAGTTTATTCATCCAACTTCATCTAGGACAAAATGATGGCAAGAAAAATTTTCCACTTCCTATTAGCAGGCCCAGAAAAGAACATTCACTCTACTAGGAATATATTCTAGATTCTTCTGTGACGTTTTGAACCATCCTTCCTGAAGACTGACTCAGGTTCTGAGAAGTCTTGGGACGGCCTGCCTGGCACAGGGAGGGTACACCCAGGTTTGGAGTAGCCAGGCCTGCAGCCAGTCAGTTTCTCTTTTGTACAACAGACTAGGATGTGAGGCCCAGACAAGAAACCACAGTGCTCTGAGCCTCTCTTTCTCCATCTGTAAAATGTGGAAGAATTAGCTCTTTCTCAGACGTGATGTGACTATTAAAAAAATAATAATAAAAGGCTATTAATGCTGTTAGTTATGTGAAAATAAAAACAGGCATGCAAGAAATCTTCTTTTCTTTCCTTTTGCTTTTCTCTCACTAAAAGCCATTCATCTGGCTGCCTCCTAGAGGGAGGAAAAAATGAAACCAGATCCACCTTAACAAAGGTCAAGACATTTCTACCATTGAAGGTAAAAGCAGAGGAAATCAGCCCAAGCAGTTATTACTATAATAAAGGCTAAGGCTGGCTCAGAGCACAGTGATTAAGAGAGCTAGATCCCACACAGCTGATCAGAATTCGAATCCCAGTCCCAGTGGTTTGAAAAACACACCAGGCACATGTGTGTGCATGCCTCACATCTCAGTAGGACGGAGAATAGAGGAAAAGGGATTGTGGAATGATCATGTCCCAGTACAGAGTGCTTTCTCCCTTTTGCTTTTCATTTCCCTGTTTCTCTCTGGAAAGCACACACTCTGGCAATAAAAAGAAAAAAAGAAAAGAAAAGAAAAGAAAAGAAGAGAAGAGAAAAGAAAAGAAAAGAAAAGAAAAGAAAAGAAAAGAAAAGAAAAGAAAAGAAGAGAAAAGAGAAGAAAAGAGAAGAGAAGAGAAGAGAAGAGAAGAGAAGAGAAGAGAAGAGAAGAGAAAAAAGAAAAGAAAAGAAAAGAAAAGAAAAGAAAAGAAAAGAAAAGAAAAGAAAAGAAAAAAAGAAATAAGGCTAACACTGTGTTCACAAAGAGGAATTTCCCATCATGACGGTCAAACATATTTACTTCCATTCTCCACTACTCTAAAGATGCCCATGGTGTATCAGTTACTAACTAGCGAGCCAAATACAAAACAGTACTTGTAACACGATATCATGAAATACATGTATTGATATGTGTGCAGAAAAAAAAAAATGGTATTGATATGTGTGCAGAAAAAAAAAAATGGAAGGACAAATACCAAAATGCTTTCAACAGCTATTTTTGGATTTTTTAAGGGTGATCTTAACTTGCTGCTTTGTTCTTTACCTGCCTTTTTTTTTTTTTCCTAAAATGTCATGAAGCGTGCTCATTACCAATCTACACATTAAAAGAAGCTACTTAGAGGAGATCCTCTCCTCCCAAAGGTGAAGATTTACTCACATCATTCTGCATGTATCACAAGGCAACCCGGTGCTGTTCTGAAATGAAGTGTGGGTGTGTTCTAAGCAACTTTTTCTCTCATTTGACTGAGTTTTCCTGTGTGCTCTTCTCAGAAACACAACCCCAATAACTCCATACCTTGCAAATCAGCTCCAGAGTGTCCCGTGCGGTGTCACCTGGCCGGACAACTGTCAGGGCTGGCTGATTATTGGGCAAACAGAACCAGGACGGAGTGAAATACTCATGGACCCAAATGTCACAGTCAGGATTGTGCTGGTGGACACTAGGCAAGACCACTTCCTTCTCCCTCTGTAATACAAAATAAAGTGAGCAGAACAGCAGTTGTTGATGGCTAATGACCTCAGAACTCCAGACTGCACAGATGATCTGTTTTTATGGAAGTGGTGGCAGTGGTTGGAGGGAGAACTCTTGTAGGAAGAGAAACTACTGAGGAAACAGCTTTTCAATGAGAGTAAGGTGGGGGGATTTTCAACCTCAGATATAAGGCGGGCTCCATACCTGGCCCACAGCATCTACAGATGGCCATAGCATGAATGAGTTGAAACCGGGAAGAAACAAGAAATGGGTCATCCATTCAGTTCACCTTTATTGCTCCTATTTCTTCCCCAAACCCACTGGAAATTTCAAGCAGCGAATTCCAACAGCAAGACTCTCTGCCTTATGAAATTTCTACTTCAAAGCAACAATTAGGCCACAAGAAAATTTCTTTCAAAAAGATAATGTCCTAGCACCACATATTTAGAGGTTGCATCACTGGGCCTCTAGCACAACTCTGGAAGAAAGACAGCCCTATTTCCCAGATGACGTTCAAAGAGCTTCACAGATGAGCCTGATGGCGTGAGGCAGCCAAAGCAAGCATCCTTAGGCTGCTGCCAGCCCTCCGTCCTCTACGTCACTCTGCCTGAGGGTCAGAGAAGAGCACAGAGTTTATATATGTGGGAGAAGTGTCACTGTCCTCATTTAGCAGCTGATGTCAAACCAAAGCAAACTGAACAGTGGAAGCAGAAAACATCCTACAGACTGATGAACTGGGAGCACCAGTGGAAAAATCAAGGGAAGAACTGTTAGATTTCAGTCATGTAAAATAATATCAATGTGCAATATGTGCTAAGTTAATATGCCTTGGTTATTGTTTTATACCGACACTGGTTCGCAACTCTTAGAGTACCAAGAACAAAGTATCAGCAAATTACAAGAAGAAACAAATTTTCAAACGAAGACAGAAATGTGGTAACCTAACAATTTCCATACATAAAATGATTGGGATCCAAGAATAGGGGAAATGATTTAGTAAAAGCCACTAAACTAAACCCAATTGCAGAAGATAATTTCAGCCTTGCCTTTGAACAGCATTGCTTTCATAGATAAGTTGGACCCTGGGGAAAAAATCGTCAAACAGCAATCAACGTGTCTAAATCCCATTAACTCTAATTGGAATCTTCTGACTCTGTCCTGATGTACCACATTAAATAAGGGCCCGTTAGCACTGGATCAAGTCCTGCCTCTAATAACCTGCTCTTTAAGAAAAGACATTATAACCAGGAAGTAGAATAAGGAAGTATGGGAAAAAGAAAGCCCCAAACTAAGAAATCCAATGGAAAAAGTGTGCAGTTTCCAGGCACGTTTGCCAGCAAGAACACCCCAAAATAAAAGAATACCAATTATGGTAGCAGGTGAATTGGCAGGAGCCAGACAGTGACACAATGTTCAATGCAATGCTCTGGGAGGCTGAGCCACACGGAAAGGTTCAGGACTCATGTCTGGAGACCTCTCTGAGTACAAAAGGCGTGCAAGCATCCATAATCCACAAACAGCTGACTCTGATGGAGGTGCTGTCTCTGTTTCTCTCTCTCTCCATCTCTCACTTGTGGAAGAAATATATAAATAAACCTTAAAAATAAGATGCACTGGCCACCTTCTGAAATGACCAAGTTAACATGAAAAGCTATGCTTAAATTGCACATTGGTTGAACAATTTAATTTCATCAAATTTCATAAGAGACAGGTGCTCAAAGGGTAGGTTTTTGAAGGACAGCTTCAAGAATAACATAGCCCATAAGTAGTTCAAGTACACTGGAGAAAAACACCTTCCATTCTTCCATTTCCTCCTCCGATAGCCAGAACACCCCACTGCACTCTGGTGTCCAAGGCTCAGCTCTCTGTGCAAAACGGGGCTAACCACTGCTGACCAACACTGCTTAGCTGCACGGCCACTGACAGCTGGATTCTGTCATCCTGGTTCTAAGTCTGAGAACCAAAGGATCATACCAAGGCCACATTATCAACATTTGAATTCCGCAAACAAAGAGGCCACTGGTATATCACTATCAGGGTCTTGAAAACGAGGGCTATCCATTTATTTACAGGCTGAAGAAAATGCCCAAGAAAGAAAAAAACCAATATCTTTATGGGTTTTCAATCAAAGCAGTTTGAAAGCCCCTATGAAATCCAAGCATAAGATTGAACCAAGTCTGTGAATTTTTAAATTGAATAGTTGATTTAGGAGACAAATGCATTTTTCTCTTTTTAGGAAACACACTATCAGAACAGTCCTTTGAAATTAATGGGAGCAAAACAGCAGGTATGGGCAGAGAGGGATGCTTATAAGAACTAAGTTCTGGGAAGTAGAGGAAGTATATAAAAAGGAATTCGCAGTGGCATGAAATACTCAGTGACTTAGAACCCAAGTTTTCCCTTATACTCTAGTTGGAAACTACACATCAAATGGAAAATGCTATGGCAGCAGGAGGATGTCCTTCTTATCACCAAGTTTTCTACACAAAATGATTTTCCATCTCTTACTGACCTATTACATAACTGTAAAAAACTGATCATTTCGGTGTTTATACCGAGCCTACCTAATTTTAGTATTGCCAAGAAACCACTGTGTGTGTACATGTTGATGCATCTGTGGTGAACTTAGAAAAAGAACACGTGTTTATTTTTACCTTGCCATCTGGAACAATGTCATCAAATATTCCCTCTAAAGATTTCTTTACAGCGTCAGTTCCTTCTCCAAACACCTGCATATACAAAAGGATCATTTATAAAAGGAATCTGGGCAAGGGGACTAATAAAGCATGAAAGAGGGTGGAAAACGGAGATGGCTGTGAGAAAACATTCTGGAAGTTTCCAGCTACTCCTACATCAAATCTCAAAGCAGGTAAAATAATAATAAAATAATTTCTGGTAGCAGAATAAAAACCATGTAGCTGAACCATTTTGCATATCTTTGTGAATACAAAAAAAAAAGTTTGCCTTTAGGTCTGAATAATTCAGCTAAATTTAAAGAAAGCATTATAAATTTTAAAAAGTAATGAACTAGATTTATTCACAACAGAGAATTCCTCCAACAGCTGATCACATACTTACAGATAATAATCAGCTTGTTTTTAAATACTTTCTTAGTAGAACTTAAGAAAATATTGTTGTAAAACAGAAATTTGTCTTTTTTTAATGTAATGAATCCTAACTTAAAGATAAGAAGAAATACTATCTTTGTTAAAGAGTAAATAAAATCCTAGCTAAATCATAGGGTACTAATGCCACTAAGTACTCAATACCCACACCCAGGGACACCAGGAACTGTATACAGTGGTTCTAAAACCACTGTCATGATAATGGTCAGGATTAAGAAAAAGCCTCTCCCCCAGTGTGAATGAAATATGTAGACACATACAATTTTTTTATATTTCAAAGTACTGCAGTGGGTAAATGTCTATTTGTATGTTCATGGGTAAACAAAAGTGTTTTTAAAAAAACTTTTACTTTAAGAAAGAATTACAAGAATTGTTCATAAAATATTCCATTATCCTTCTAGTTAAAAAAAGAAAGTTAAAAACAAACTCATATACATTCAGTCATATCTCGGGTCGTCAGAAAAGTCATGATGCCTATTTACATAGAAAAACACATCATGACTTTTCCGACAACTCAGTATTTCACAAGGAATAGACTGTAACATACCCTGGTACCAGTAAGGTAGAAACAAAGAGTTTCGCACAGTTCCAACTACACAGTCCTGATAATAGCCCTAATTATAGTGATAACCTGAGTCATCTCTAATGACCGAGGACACATACAAAACGACATCACCACCTCCCAAAAGAAGGGGAGAAGCTCATCTCTAATGCCCTCCTTTCACAGTTCTAACAGAAACCATCAAGCCTCTTAGATGACTTTTCTGATGAAATATTGACTTCCCTCCAAACAGTTTCTTCTTTGATTTTACCTAAAAGCAAAACCCATGTTAGCAAATTTGAGGTTTTATCTTCCCAAAGATCATTCTTCCTCTGGTCTCCTGCAGGTCTCGGAAACATAGAGAAATGCCATGTTTAAAAGTTGAGCAGAGAGACCAGCAGATGGTGTAGTGGTGACGTTCCTGGACTCCCACATGGCCGACCACAGTCCGAGTCCCAGACCTACGAGCTTGAAACTCATGCTGGGTGCGTGTGCATGCATGCCCCAAATCCCGAGAGAATGGAGGAGAAGAGATTGTGGTGTGGCCATCCCCCTGGAGGTGATTTCTTGCTTTATGTCTATCTCTGTCTCTCTGGTGAACACATGTGCCCAATGGCAAAAATCCCCCTTTACAAAAAAAAAAAAAAAAAAAAAAAATTGAGCAGAGGCTGGTCCCTGGCCTGGTGGTTATGGTGGCTGAATCCCAATTCCACAGCTCCAGTCCCAGACCCAAAGGCTTGAAAAACATGCCAGACACATGTCTGTGCTGCCCCAAATCCCAACAGGATGGAGAAATAGAGGAGAAGTAACAGAGAGTGTTCTCTCTCTCTCTCTTTCTCTCTCTCTAGCACATGTGTTTTCTGGCAAAAATTAAATAAATAAATAAAAGGTGTACATGTTGGTCAGCTAAAGGACTCAAGACATCAGTTTTGAGGAAAGGCTTTTTTTTTTTTTTTTTAGGAAAAAAACCCCACCAGGTCCAGCACTAGAACAGTGGTCAGACATGAGGGATGTGGGAGTCCCGTGCCTTAACCACAATGACACCTGCTGGCCCCAGAATTAATGACTTTTTAAAGCTTAACTTCTTCTTAAGTAAAGGCTAGAATTGTCAGAGAAAATAAGAAGGGATCCTTCTACCAAGTCAGTGTCGTCTCACTACGTGTAAGGGAACAGCATAAATAGGAAACGTGGCAATCCTACCCATGACCTCCAAAATGCTCCAGGCCTGGCCTTCCAGCCTCTGTGGAGCCCATGAATTGCATGTTTCCTTTCTTCCAAAAAGACGACAGATGCTCAAGGTCCTTTGGTGCCTGAATCTAAAGGAGCAATTCTAGAGCTACTCGTTTCGCAAAGGCAAAGGGGAAGGATGAGAACAGCAATGGAGAGTGGGTTTCCTGGGAGTGACGTGACCAGGAGAGGAGCCTGACTAGTAAAGGGGTAAAATCAAGGGAAGAACAGAGCCATGGAACATGCTTAGCAGAGATTCCACACTGTACGCTCGAGACCGTGCTATTTATGACGGCCTGAGATCCCCCTCCGGCCTTCATACCTGAGCAAAAGGCGGCCGCAGTGGGGAGTGCGAGCATGCTCAGACCCCTGTAGGCGGAGGAGTTGCCTATTTAAGGTCAACTCTCAAAGTCAAGGGCAAATTAAAAATCAGATTTCCCTGGAGACAGCCTTTGATTCAGCGCCAGTAGCTACTTACAAAGTTTCAGCGATCAGGTACCCACTTGGCGTCATCTGCAAGCTCTGTTTTCTTGTGAAGACGCAGGAGGAACTGCACTTTTGGGAGATCCATAATTAATCAAGGTTTGGAAAGGATGCAGGTGGGAGACTGGAGCTTGACGATGACTGATATGGTATGGGTATACATTATCTATTAAAAGTGTCTAAGCTGGCAGGTGATGTGGTGGTTAAGGGTGCTGGACTCCCACATGGCTGACCTTGGTTCAAGTCCTCGACCTGGCAGCTTGCTTTCTCACTTTCCTTCTCTCTCTCTCTCTCTCTCTCTCTCTCTCTCTCTCTCTCTCTCTCTCTCTCTCTCTCTCTCTCTCTCTTTCTCTTACTCTGCCCCTCTCTGGTTAAGTTAAAATAAATAAATGAATAAATAAATGAAGTTAAATAAAATAATAATAATAATAAAAAAAAAAACCCACAGTGTCAAGAAAGGAACACACACACATCAAATTGAAGAGGCTACACAAGCAATCTGAGCAGACGCCCTTCTACTCCGTAACCCACCTGGTTGATGCTTGGGCGTCCCTGTTTCTTCTTGGAGGTAGTGTCCAGACCCCAAAGAGAAGAAAACCTGCTCCTTCTCTTGCTTGCGGATCTGGACATGGCCTGAGTACGTCTTCTCACTCCCGTTTCACCAGTACGCGCTGCCACCTGAGGATGGCAAGGATAAGCACCGAGAGAGATGTGTCAGGACAGCACCATGGCCTGTTCCTCAAGCTCCCCCCAAGTCCCACCCCTCCTCTATCATGCTGGCCAACACTAACCGGAGACTCAGACACAATGGGACTCTGAGCGCCCTTCACTGGTTCAAGGGGCAGTAACAGGTCAACAGACTTAATCACTGTTTGAAATCATCAGGACAAAATACATAAAATAGTAAGAAAATGTATAGTGATATTTTTTTTAAAGATTAGATGCCCTTCCTGTCCCAGGCTTGAACTATGGCATAAAATTAGCCATGCTTTCTTGAGATTCTCCATCAAATGCAAGTTCTTTCTGTACTCTAATAAAAAATGGTGCCTGGGCATCACCCAGTATAATGACAAAACAGCCAGCTTTGGTTCTTGGGATTCTGCATCAAAACCAAAATTACCAAAATCTTTTAAGTTTTCTCAAAATAAGTAAAATCACTTTCCTTACTAGGACAAGATCATTGTCCCTCAATGTCCATTTTCTCTTCGACCTCAGTCAGAGAAACCCAAAATGAAGCCAAGCACCCGGCCACTAAGTCAAACTTGGCTTGTTGTTCTAGCACCAGGCTTTTGACTAAGTGCTGGTCGATAGGATCTGAGTAGGAAACCTATTTGCCACTTCTGGAAATTGTCCTTCAGGGGAGAGTGCGATTCAGTATCCAAGGCTTTCCTTCTTCGGGATAACAGGAAGGGCAGAATCAAGATCTAAGGTGTTGCTTTTCAAGAAAGGCAGAACAAGAAGACTCAAAGAATCGGGACACTGAAGAGGGTGAAGCCATCTTAGTAGACTTACCTCCTGACATGTACTATGTTTAGGTGAGTGGAGACTGAACTCTGTATCTTTTTTAAAAATGTTAACGGAGCGCCAGTGGTGTAGTGGTTAAAGTGCCGGACTCCCTCACGGTCAAGTCCTGGACCCAGCTTCTTGAAAATCACACCAGCACATGTGCATGCATGTCTCAAATCTCAGGAAGAGAAGGGATTGTGGCATGGCCATCCCCCCCAGGGGGTGATTTCTCACTTTCTCTCTCACTGTCTCTATCTCTCTCTGGCAAGCGCACAAGTGCATGTGACCTATGGCAAAAATAAAAAAAAAAAAAAAAAAAAAAAAAAAAACCTTAAAAAAAGAGGAAAAGGAATGCTAAACTGTTGAAATATTTGCAAGATACCAGCAACCCAAGGAAATATTTTAAAAGGGAACACTCTAAAGTTAAATTTGCCACTGTGATCATTGCTCAAGCAGAACTTTTACAAGAACCCCATAAAGTCCTCCGAGGCAGAACAATTCATGCTTGAACTTCAGTCTATAGGGTGTAAGCTAAGTCCCAGGAACTTCAGGGACTTCTGCCAGAAGGTCTCAATGGGCCACCCACTGCTCTCCTTTGAAAAAAGGGTGTGGCAGGAGGTATAACAAGTCAGACTGGCCATGGAACTTCCCCGCCCACTCTTTGTTGCTGGAGGTGAATGTCTTGGAACCCAGTTGTCACAGATTCCCACAAGGCAACACCCAACATGATAGATGCCAGCTGGCAGCAGTCTGGGTTAGGAAACCTGTTGAGCAACCTAAGAGGCCTCCCCAGTGGTCAGCGTGAGGCTTAGGACACCGCTATGCAGTTTAACATGCTGACAGTATGCATAGCACAGAAGCCCCGTAAATACATTGGCAAGGACCCCTCAAATACATTTAAAAAGGAAGCAAAATCGTTGCTAAGTGTTAGGGAGAAAGCTTTTCTCCTAAATGAAAATAAGATGAGGGGGCTGGAAGATCTTACATTTTCTCTGTTTAGCACATAAAAAACCCACATCAGGGTAGAGAAAGATGTAGTGCCCAAGACAATGGAGGGAGTTCTTTATTTCAGATTTGCCAGAAAGCACATGCACTTGCCAGAGAGAGGAGACACAGAGAGAAGAAAAGTGAGAAGCACTCCCCCCCATGGGGCATGGTTATCCACAATTCCATCTCCTCCATCTCTCTACTCTGAGGAAATGGGGCACACAGGCATACATGCCCCAGTGCCTGGCATGTTTTTCAAGTTACTGGGTTCAGGACCTGAACTGTGTGGTTGGCCACATGGAATCTGCTGCCTTAACCATCACACCACTGGCCCCCAAGAGGAAACTTTTGTAAGAACGATCTTAACCTGTCATTGTAAATAAGGTGCTATGGGGAACAAAAGCACAAAACAGAAGGTACCATTTAACAGGTTAAAAATTTCTCTTGTTTATTTTCATCACTTTCTGAATTAAAGGTAAACAAAGGTTGTAAGAGAATTAATTTATAATGTGCTGACACACATATATTCACGTGACTTTTTCAACACTAAATAAATTATGTTGGATATTAAAATTCTAGAGAAAAACGAGTTCACTTGGTTTCTCCCACCCCCCCCCCCCGAGAGAGAGAAGCAGAGATAGACAGAAATACAGAAAATGAGACATCACACACACCCTCCCCCGGTGGGGATAGCCACACCACAATCCCTTCTCCTCCACTCTCCCCTCAGGATTTTGGGCATGCACACACACACGTGACTGGCTTGAGTTTAAGCAGCCAAGTCTGGGACTTGAACCATGGTCAACTATGTGGGAGTCCAGAGACATAAACGTTACACCACCTACTACTGGCCCTTGGTTTCATGTTTATAAATAAAAATACAGCCATAAATAGGGATACATATAAGCGAGATCCACAGAAAATTCATGAAAAATATGTATTACAAAAAACTATGGGTGGATTTTTTTGTTGTTTTGTTTTTGCATCAAAATAAACTGGTACTTTAATCCCATTTTTGCACAAACTTTCTAAAGTGGCCTCATACACATACACATAGCTGCCATATATATTGGCCGGTATGTATCATTGCTTTCTTCATAACACATTTCAATACCTGTACTTACAGTGTTTACTTAACAAACTACAACCCAAATGACAAGGATATAGCTGACACCTGACAGGTGCTTGCATATATTTTTTTGACTGAATAAATAAATACAAAAAAAGCCAAAAGCGGAGATCCATCATAACACAGCAAAGACAACACTTAAACAGTAAACTCTTCAGTTTACAATTTCAAGGAGGGAAAAACAGGGAGCATGAAAGGGAAAATCTATATAATCAGAAATATTCTCAGTTATCAACTGCCTGGTTAACTTAGTCTGTTTAACAGGCACTTTATTTACGGTCCTTAGAGTAACTCTTCTAAAGTGTTTGAGGTCTTGTGAGCTGCAAAAGTAACCACTGCCCCAAGACAATAGTGACTCAGGATGAGTAAAGGGATTTAGGATAAAAGACTGGCAGGAGAACTCCTGGACAAGCGCTCAAGAGTTTCTCCATGATCTCTGCCCAGACAATGCCTCCCTTTGTGAGGGGAACCTGATTACTCTATCATTTTGCTCATCTGTGCAAACAAGAACAAGGATAACCTTCTTTCAAGAAGTCCAGCGGGGACCCTTTACTTAATGACCGCGAATCACTCAGCATCCTGGGAAGCTCGGAGTGAATATGACTTCAGCTGCAGCTCACATGGCCTCCCCTCCTTGCTACCCACACACCTCCTACCTCAGTTCCCCCACTTAAAAAGAAAAAAGAAATTCTGGACAAAGGCTAAATTGAAGAACATTTCAACTCCAAAGAGGTTAAAAAAAAAAAAAAAAAAAAAAAACACCTTTAGGGTCAAATGACAAAGAGAAGAGGGAAAAAATAAGTGTCCATTAAGTTAGACTGCAAATTGCCTGCCCCGGACCTTCCAGGGAAGGTAGGACAGCTAATAGGAGCAAGCACCCAACAGGCTCGCCTAACTTGTTCTGTCTGAAATAAAACTCTTCACAGAAAAGATAAGTTTACAAGGACATATAAATACCCAGATTTGCATCACTGAAGCAGCTAGTAAAAGAAATAGAAGAGAGAGAGAGAAAAAAACGCAAAACAAATAACAAAACAAAAACAAAAGACACAAAGGCACGGAGAGTTGAACATATGAACTGAAACAGTCTTTTAAAAATCACTGATGGCAAAAACTAAATGGGTGGCTAGCTACCCCAACCAGTCTTCAGCTATCCAGGTTAAGATAGCCTGCCACCAAAAGACGAGGACTCTCAAATCAGACACTGCAGGAGAGCAAATCGGAAGGTCCGAAGACAATTTATGGAAGAGCGACACAGTGGCTTTCACTAGCCCTCCTCAGAGAGGTGAGCTACAATGGCTTTGAAGAAAATAATAAACACACACAACTTTAGGTAGAAAACAACATTATTTTCTCCCAAATCTTTCAAGCCAAAGTAAAAGAAAAGAACTATCTGACATTCTGACAAAGAGGTAAATAATGTCTGCAGAATAGGTTAGATAAGACTTGCCATAACATTAGCGTCCAGATCTAAAGAAACAGACCTAAATAAAGCCACGAATGGAAAACCGTTAGCGAGATTTATTCATCGCAGCACTTTGTCCCACCACTACTAAAAAAATAACACTTAATAGCTACATGGAGAGGTGGTAGCCAGGGAGACCAAGAGCTGAGCTGTAATTAGCAGAACAAATCAGGATGCCAGTTTTAATAACTCCAGAAATTGGTTTAAGACTTCTTTAAAAATGTAAATCTGCCCCTAATTATCTGAATGATGACGCTAATCTATTTATAAAGAATACAAACGCCTCTGACTGAATTACAGCTCTGAATTCAATTGAAGGGTACAGCTGACATAGCAAGACAAGAGCAGCACACTGAAGGTTTTCCAAAGCAGTTTCTGGAACCTGAGACTTAACATTTAATTCCACAGCAAATGCGCTAAGGTGCAAGAACACTGAAAGTGGGTGTCGACTTTGGTAGGCTAAAACCACGTTACTCACACAGCAATTTTTGAGAAGAAAGGAGCCAAAAGTACACAAAGCTCCTCGCAATTTAGCAAGTACATGAAATTGCAGATTACAAACACACAACACCACAATCTGCCACTCTGGAGGTCAGATGCAAGCTCCTTTTCCCTAGCAGTAGATATGTGCAGCTGGTGAATCGTGGACATTCTTGGCCTTGCTCTAGTGCGTCAGGTATTTATAGCCATCAAAACAATGATAAAGTACAGGGCAAAGGAGATCTCCATGAGATCTGTGTTAATGCACGGGGTAAATGTGTGTGAGTGAGTTAGAGAGAAAGAACAAGAACTCATGTATGCACGAGAGAGAGAGAGGGCATTCTACTCACCGTTTCCGTAAGGTTAATACGAAAAAGATGTGTTGTTTGAACATGTATTGTTCAAACCACAACACTGCCTCAGGGTGATGAGAACACTCAGCAAACACGCTCTTCAGACAGTATCTGTCACATCTTTGCACAATAGTTTAGGCCCCCATCAAGAGGGTTAGTTTAAGTAATCAATTTCAGGATAGGTTCAAATGAAAATGTCCATCCACTGCAAAGTGCAGACACTTCACGAATCCATACACCACAGTAAATTAAAAAACACCAGAGAGATTCCTATCAAGTCCTGCTCAGAATTAAGCATCGAGATAAATATTTTTCAAAAATTCATTAGTTTCTACTCACCAGGGCATGAAAAGATGATACAGAAAAGATTCCAAGGCGGCCCATTGCCACTTTTGTTGGCCGGCTTGCAAAAGCAAGTAGCCTTTTGGGGTTTGGCAGCTCCCCACCCTGGAGACTAGCTAAATAACAGCGGAAACGAAATAGGTCCATTTGGAACTGTTCAAGATTTTGCTCCCAAACAAAGATCTGCAGAGGTGAAAGCACAGGAAAAGAAAAGGTAAGAAAAAGGGAAAAACAAACATTAACTACTTCATTTTATACAAGTCTTACAAATCTGTATGTTATAAAGATATTAATTATAATCCTAAGGGGTAAAAAACAGGTAGCCTAAGATTTTTAACAAAACCAAGAGCCTTCAAAAACCAAAGAGAACATGAATTCATTCCCAAATGAAAATTATTTTAAAAACTATGCATGGGTTTCATAATATTTTACACCAAAATAAACTTGTACTTTAATTTCATTTTTCCCTCAAACTTTTTGAAACTTCTTGCATGCTTTTTCTGCAAAGACTTACAGTCATATATTCAGTATAAAAAATTAAAAGTATATTATTCCTTGTTCCAGATCCTCCTATTACAGATTTCATGTTTGGAAGCATCAACTCCAAGACCTGTGCACAAACCCAAGCCAGAAGTAAAAACGTACGGACTTCTCACACCAGAGAACTATATGATTCACTAAGAGGCAGCTGTTTATACAAGGACCAAGAGAAAAAGAAAAGCGAGGTGAGGCCGGCCCCATAGCACAGCAGTTAGAGGTGCCAGATCCCACAGGGCCAACCACAACCTGAATCCCAGTCCCTGCAGCTTGGAAGACATGCCAGTGCATGTGCATGCCCCAAATGCCGGCGGGATGAAGAAATGGAGGAGAAGGAAGTGCAGCGTGTTCATGACCTCATGCCCCATTGGAAAGTGTGTGCTTTCGCTCTCTTTCTTGTCCATCTCCTTGCTGGGTGCATACCTCCTCTAGCAATTAAAAAAAAAAGTGAGGTGAACTAAAGGTCAGATGTGAGCAGACTGAGAGCTTCTGAGGAGAGATGTGTGGTACAGACTACAGGATTGCAGTGGAAACCACTAGATGCTGGAAACCCAGACTCTGGAATGCACCGTTCTAATCACAGGGTATATCTGAGACAGACCCTCTTTATTCAAAGCAGCAAAATAGTACCTCCACTTCCTGAGGCAGATGTGATGCTTAAACATGATAATGCAAGAATCAGCGCAGGATCTGCCATGGAGCAAAAGCTCAGCGATGTTGCTGACATTTCAGATAATGATTAAGGTGTTGAGTACCTTTTTTCTGTGACTTGAGGCAGAATATCAGTGTGCACACATGTTCATAGCAGCATTACGAACAGTCAAAAGGTGGGGAGAGCTCAGATATGCACCAAAGACGGTCAGATAAACAAACTGTGGTGTATACATACAACGGCATGCTACCCAGCTATGGTGCACTGGGATCACATTCCAAATATCATGCTGAGTGAAAGAAGCCAGACCCAAAAAGTCACGTATGTGCAATTCCTTTAGCATGAAACATGAAAAAAAGGCAAATCCATAAAGACAGAAGGCCAAAGGCAGGAGGGAACAATAGCTTAATGGGTATGGGGTTTCCTTTTAGGGTGAATGGAAATGTTTCCGAACTAGACAGAGATGGTAATTGTATATTACTAAATGCCACTGAGCCCCAGCCAGAGCATGGTGATGGAGGCAGCTGTATCCCATATGGCTGACTATGTGGTTTGAGTCCTGGACCCGGCAGCTTAAAAACAAACCAGGAGCATGTACATGTGTGTATGTGCCAAAAATCCCAAAGGGAGGGAGAAAGGGAGAGACAGGATTGTGGTACAACCACATACCATGGGGAGAGTATTGTGGGGTACTTTTTTTCTCTCCCCACCCCTTTATTTCTCCAGTGAGTGCAGGCATCCTCTGGCAAGTCAAAAAAAATAAGTAAGTAAAAATAAAATAATAAGTACCTCTGAATTATTCACTTTAAAATGGTTGATTTTATGTCATGTGAATTTTGCCTTAATGTATCAGGTAATAAGGGGAAAGAATTGAGGGAGAGAAGTATGGAAGGCCACAGGCTGACCCATGTCATCGACTGTTCAACTATAAAGACAAAGTTCCAAAGGATTTCCAGGTAGCTATCACTGACTCCAAAACAACAGAATAGAAGGCAAAAGTGTCCTCTGTTTGTTTTACCATCTTTCCATAGTATAAAATATACTTTAGCTCCTGCACTGTAATTATTTGTATATATACTTTCAAAAATGCACTTTGCCTTTTCTTAACTTAGAATACTATGTTTACTAAGGACTTAGAAATGTGTCCCCAGCATAGTTGAGCTCCATGTCTACCTGATAACATGGAGGAATAAAACTGAGGCATTTCTAGTCCCACAGATCCCCTAGCATAAATGGCTCACTATTGTTGGGAGCTAGAAGGCTCCTCTATTAGATTTCTGTCTTTCATTCGATGCAATATTGTTCCTGTTAGCTCATAACAATCAACTGTGAACAAAGGGTGACAAAAACTGACAAGTCACAACAAGGAATTTAGCAGCCTGGATGACAGGCTGAAGAGGAGATAACGACAGTCTTTCATAATTTCAAGGCAGCCAAAATACTTTAAAAACCTAACCATTCTGACCGGGTCTAAACATGGAAGAATGATTACCTGATCTAAAATCGTCTTCTTCTTCTTTGAGTCGGTGACTGAAGACAGTTGCATTTCCCCCATCTTCTTCATCTTCTCATCCATGTCAATCTTCTGTTCCAGTTTTTTAATTTCTGACTTCAGGAGTCGGAGCGTGTCCTCTTTGTGGTGGTGTCTTGCGACAGCAGCTGCACATGCGGAGTGGATGGCGGTGATCCAGTTCTCAAGCTCTGTCTGGCTGGTGGTCTGTAAGGGAGGGGGACAAGAGGAGAGCTTCTTAGGAAGTCAACGGAAATGAACTGTGCTCCAGAGTCAAGGTCTAGATACCCCTGAGTAAGGCTAGCCTGGCCTCGTTCTTCAGGGAACCTATTTCAAAACATAAGTTTCAGGTCAAACCCTTGCTCTTCCCCAACTTCAAGGGCCTTCTGAATGAAGCTGCCGTGTCTGCTGACCCATGGATTTACTGACCTCATCCTTCTGTACAGGATTCTCCTACAGGCAACTTGGTTTGCAGTCAAGAAGGTTGCTGCTCAGTTCCCCAAGAAGACTGGTCAGTTACAAGGTGTGAGTGGAGCTAAGAGACATTCCTGGTCAAAGAAGACACAACAGTCCTGCTCCCAGTGAACTGCTGCAACTCCTGTCCAAAGGTCCTATTCCAGTCTACAGAGCAAGGACACCACTGGGCCTGAGGAAGTGGTCCAAGGCAGCCAGGAAAAATGCTGATTCAGAGGATGCTGTGGGAGCACTCTAAGACAGCAGCCACCCACCAATCTCACAAGTGCTAAGAGTGACCTGTCTCAGAAGGCATTAAGGCAACTTCAGGTGACATCACCAATGGATGGATGACCTCACAGAATTAGTGTTACTGGAGGTTTTTTGTTTGTTTGTTTTTTAATTTCAGCTTTTGCTATAGGACACATGCATCTATTGGAGAAAGATAGAGGGAAAGTGAGAAATCAATGTCCATGTTGTAATCCCTTCTGCAGTCTCTCTTCGGGATTTTGAGCATGCACGCATGTGTGCCAGACATGATTTTCAAGCCACCAGGACTGGACCTCGAACTGCATAGTCAGCTGGGTGGGATTCAGCCATCTTAACCGCCACACCACCTGCTGGCCCCCAGACTCAGGTTGCTTTTAAGGGAACATGTCAAAACAGCTTTGCATACGCAGCTCATGTGTAATAATTTCCTATTTATGATTCTTTAGAAATGCAATCAATGAGTATTTATAAGTAAGGACTTGTTGGACCTTTCCCTAAAGCCCAGCTTAGTTTACTAAATGTTCAGAAGCTAGCCTATGTCAGAAAATAGTCCATTTAGTCACTATAGTACTAAGTAGCTACTATATCATTCTTCATGCACAGAAACACTACTTTCTTCTCTTTGGTGTATCTTCTCAGTTTTCTAGCTCATTGGAGTGATAGCTTACAAACAAAATTTTATTATCCAGCCCCCACCGGCATATGGCTCTATGCTGGCTAACAACTGAAACTTAGACCAGAGACTACCGTCAGTGTCTATGCTATTTCTGAATCTCATCAGTTTTGTTTGTCATATAAGAAACAAAATCAAATCTTTGAAAAGGTATCTACTTACAAAGCCCTCTCACTTAGGACAAACAAAAATGATCTGTATTTAAGAAAAACATTTGTCAGTAAATAAAGGAGGTTCCAGTAGGCCAGGAACTCTCATATAAAAACAGCAGGGGCCAGGCAGTGGAGAAGCGGTCCACACGACTGCACCCACATGGAAGATGTCTTGGGTTTTCATTCTGGGACTTCCCAATCACATCCAGGCCGGCTGAGACTGGGGGAGGACTATAGTGCGAAGACCTGATGGGGCCCCCTCTATGTGTCTCCCTGTGTCTCTCTCTTGCTCACTCTCAGGAAATAAATGAATGAACTTGGGAGAAAAAAAAAACCCAGCAAGATATATCACCTGAGAATTACTTTGTGAGCATGGAATGAGAGGAGAGAAAAGGAGATAAAAACATTGAAAGCCACAGGTAAAAATGCGTAAGTTCAGGAACTTAGGGGGAAAAAAGTGTTTACTAACTTTTAGGTTTTAAATTTGCTTCATATTTTTAATATTTAATCTTTTTTTGAAGGTCATCCTCCTATACTTTGTCCTTAACATTTAAGTCTAAAGTTCGAGATCATTCCAAATATAACGAAACCATCAAGCTTACTCCTGCCCAGTATAAACTGTTTGATCACTGGGTTTCTAAGTGCCTCAATAGGAGAGGGTATTTTGATATGTGGGTTATTTTTTCCCATTTTTTAAATAAGGGACAAAACAATCTCAGATTAAAACAAATTTGTTTAAATAAGGACTAGGAACTTAAAAAAAATTCCAATATGAAAATACCAAGTATTGGCAAATACACAGAGTAACTAGAAATCTTATACATTGCTGGCTGCTAGCTGGGAGTAAACCAGTTAACTGCTTTGGAAAGGTTTCTGACACAGCCTTGTGACCCAAAAAATGCACTCAGTATATAACAAGATGCATTAATATGCTCACCAAAATATATACACCAGAATGTACAAAACAGTACAATTGGTAATGGGCAAAACTGGAAATTACTCAAACATTGACCTACAGTAGAATGGATTACTATCTAGAATAAACTAACAATGAAGTATGAGGGGCCTCCAAATTCCATAAGATATGCATGTTTGGGGAAAAAAAAAAAAACTAAGCATAGATTTCAAATTTGGTTTTTGCACCAAAATAATCTTGTTCTTTAACTTTTTATGAATTGTCTGAAGTCCCCTAGTACTACGTAACAATGAGAATGAAGGACCCATAACCACATGCTGCCTTACAGATAAATCTCACACACATAACGTTACCGAAAGAAAGCCAGACATGAAAGAGTTGTACTGGGCCTACCCTCTGTGGCACAGTGCCTAAGGAAACCAGATCCCACAGGAACAACCACAGTTTGAATCCTGGCCCTGGTGGATTGAAAAACATGCCAGATACATGGGCATGTGAGCCCCAAATCACAACAGGATAAAGAAATGCAGAAGCCAGGATTGTGGCATGATCATGCCCAACTGAGGGGCGATTTCACCCTCTCCCTCTCTTTAGCAAGCTCATGTATCCTCTGACAATTTTAGAAAAGAAAAGAAAAGATTCTTTGAACATAAAGGAGTCTGTAGATACTCTTCTAATTCCAAGAAGAACCACAATCTGTTCCGTAGAACACTTTTATCCTCTTTACTTAATGAAAGGAGACTCTGCTCACTCCTTGTCCTGTGAGGAGCCCATCCAAATTCGGACAAAGGAAACATGGTCCGCTCCAGCATCAGAGAGTTTATATCGCCTCCCATGTAAGAGGTGGAAATGAAGAGAGCTGATACCAGTCGAAGTTACACAGCCTTCTAAAGGTGTATATTCAAGTTTGGCAAAGCAGCTATTCTGAAACTTTTTTGAAAGGACAGGAAGACGGTGGTTGCCAGAGGTTGGGGGTCTGAAGCCATACAAAGTTGTGTAATAGGTCCAGAGTTTCAGCACTGAAAGATGAAAAAGAGTTCTGGAGATGGATGATGGTGATGGCTCCACAACACCGTGAATGTACTTAATGCCACCAAACTGCCCACTTAAAAATGGGTAAGATGGTAAACGTTATGCCATGTGTACCATACCACAGGTACAAGAAAGAATTTAAAAATTAAACCAAAAGGAAGAAAAACACATAGGAATCTCCAAAACCTAGATAGAAACATACATAGAACTGTGTGATGACAGCTCTATGAAAAATTTAGCTATGGGCCCTTTTAAACATTAAGTAAGCCTCAGCCCTCCAAACTCTTAAAACCTGTCAGTGGCTGAAGGCAGCTCCATTAGAGTGCATTTTTCCTCCTGCTGTCTTGTCTAAATAAAACAGCGGTTCCTGCCATTCTCTATCATTAAACCAAATCAATTTCTAAGAAGCACAATTGACTTAAATGAGCTTTTCAGCAAAGTTTGTCCTTTTGCAGTGGCACACGGGGAGTTCTGTGTTGGTGAGAGAAAGGGCAAATGCTTTTGCTCCCTGCTTTCAAAAGCTAGTTAAGCGAAGAAAAGTCTTAAAACAGTTCATGACAGCTCACAGGTTTAACAGTTCAGAGCTGATCACAGCGGACTACTAACTTCATAGAACATTTTCCAGTGTGGCCTCTCCAGGACTTAAATTCTGACATGCTAGAATAAGCTGTCCAAAGCCACTAACCCTGCATGGCCTTATTAAACCAGCCAAGTTTACTTAGTAACATCAGGTCTGGGAAAGGTCGCTTCATCAGAATCCAGTGGTCAACGAGGCAGTAGGACAGACCACCCAATGGCACCCTTCTGACCTCCTCACTGCTCATCACCACCCATTAAACAAACAGCAGCAGACAGGTAGAGAGAGTGAATTTTGTGATTCCTCCTTTCCCTTCTGGGGATGCTATAAATACTGTATAAAGTTCAGTGAGGGGAAAAAGCAAAGCCCTTGCCAACAGAGGAATATAATCAGCAAAAAATGCATTTTGCATAAGAGCCCCTTTGAGGGCAGAGCGAAGATGAAGCTCCGGCTTCATTATGCATTTAAATAGGTCTAACTTCAATTACCCCACTACATGGAGGACACTCAGTGATTTCAGGTAATCAATGGTTTACGTGAGTGGCAGGAAGAGGGCAATTTATTTTAAACAAGAGAAAAACTAGAGAATATACGACAATCCAGGAAACTGAAATTTGGGATAATTTGAGTTTAGAGAAGCACAAGAATAATTGTAAGGGGAAGTAGGTCAAACTTCTATTTTCATTTTAAGAGGGAAAAAAAGTAATCAAGTTCCTGTTTTTAAGAGGCTAGAGAGGAATGAAGTTCCTGGGTGAATTCTTCAAAGACAGGTTCTATGTTTATGATATTTGAGAGTTTTATTTACATAAGCTGTAATCAAGCTATAATTTTTAATATCTGTAAAGAGAACTTTTGTTTCTTTTTTATGATATAAAGAACATACACTTGCACTAGAGAGAAAGCATTCTGGGCAGCGTTAAATCACGCTGCAATTGCTTTTCCCAGCCCTGAGCTCCTCAGAATACTGGATGCCCACACAGGCATCCAGCATGTCCTCCAGGCCCATCCAGGATCTGAACCATGGTCGCACCATATGGCTTTCAGCCCTGTAGGGCACTTGTGTTACTGCTGTGCCACAGCAGCTGGGCCTGTAAAGAGACCTTAATGTGAGGTTGCCCCTCCCCAACCGGAGGA